TCTTAAATCTATTAGTTCCTTCTCCCTCCAAAGCTCTCTGTTTAGCCCTGTGCAATATATACTGCTAGAAAATCAGGACCAACAACAACAAGCCCATGATTGCCCTCAGCAGAGTCAATAAATGGCACATTTGACTCTCATACCATTTTGAACCAAGTCCTCACACAACTTCTGCCCTGACACCTCATCCATCAGCTCCTAAAGCACAAGAGCAGCACCCCACAAGCAAACCTCTTCTCTCCTATGCCATCTCCAGAGTTGAGGCCCAGATGAGAAACAGCCTTATCTTCCAGAGTAGCAAGGATACACCTCTAAGATCAGACCTTGGCAATTTGACCTAAAACCATCCTTACTTGCAAAACAATGTCTCCATCATCTTCAGAGCAAGAAGGAAAGAGAGTGAGAGGGAAAACAGGGGTGGGGGTAGGGGAGGAAAGTCCAGTCTTCTCTGACCTGATTGGAAACTTTGTTGTGGCAAAAAGAAAAAAAAAATCTCTTTGGCCAGTTGAGAAACTGCCTATGGTTGCTCTTGTATTGGGAGGGTCTGTTCAGGGTTTCTCAATCTTCTTTTCTCTCTCTCTCCCCCCTCTCTTTCTCCCCTTCTCTTGTTTCAAAAGGGGCCTCTGGTCAGCGCTGATTAATAAGTGTTTTTTGTTGTGAAGTGTTGAATAATAGAAGATGGCCAGTGACCCAGGAAAGACTAAACCTTGTGCTACTTTATTGTGGCAAGCTGAGAAAGGGGCTTTAGGACAGAGACCCCAAGCACTGACCCGCACACATCCTGCGGATTCCCTATTCATTCTCACAGCCTTCTAGTCGCCCAGAGCTCCCATTGTTTGCCAAGCAACAATGGAGATTTTGCACAGAAAGTAAAGCTCTCTTCAGATTCCTCCCTTACGTTTTGCATTTGGGGAAACAACCATCCTTAACAGGTTTTTGGGTTTTTTTTCTCCTAAACTGAATTTCAGAAAAACTCCTAGGATTTGGGCTTTTATTCTTATTGCTCAAGACTTTCTATAAAAACCTAAGAAAACAAACATTTTCTCTTAATAAATACTTTTTTTTTTGTTTTTAATTACACAACACATTTTTCCTGGGGTATTGCTTCCCTACTGATTTAAGGGGAAAATAGAGGTTTCTTTTCTTTTATTTTTTAGCATATTGCTATGGTCCAATGCACACTACATATCATATTATTCCTAAAAATAACTGTATTGAAGCAGTCTCTGTTTGAGTAGGAGCCAACTGGAGAGTGCTGCTTCTTTCAGAAAAATAATTAAATAAAAGCAGAAGATTGAAAGATCTTGGTTTATTTCTGCCCTGATTAGGCAAGCATAGCTTTTATCTCCTCGAAGGTTGGCCCTTTCCCCACACTCCAAACAAAGAGTTCATCCGCAGCCACCAAGGAGGGCACATGCCATTCCATAGACTTGCTCTGATTTACCTGTAGGGTCCAAACCACATTTCTCATTCCAGCCTAGGCATTTATTTGCTATCTAACCATGTGGATAAATATAACTCTTGCATCTGTTGAGCCTCTGGGTAGGAGCACGGTTAGAGGGATCAGAGGCCTGAGAATCGCAGGGTTTTTTTAAATTGCTTTCTCTGGCCTGTTATACATGGATTTCCATTCTTCTGAGGTATCCACTTACACATCACCAAGTGGCTAGGTTAGGGTGTTTGGTTGTGCCTTGCATTTGCAGGTTTTGTGTCTTCTTATAAATTTATTAGGTATTAAAAAACTAACAAAAAAAAAAAAAACACCAAGAGCAGATGAATGTTGCAATCAATAGCACAAACTTCTACTAAAGTGCTAGGAATGGGATTTCTTCTCCCTCATTTGAATCTATAACTGACTGAACATTTTTATCAGGACCATTGCTTTCTCTCTCGCCGTTTACACCTGAATAGGGAGGTCTGGAAATCCACCCTTTGGAGGTGAGGAAGAAAAGACCAGTCTGTCAGAGAAACCTCTAACAACTGAAGGGGGAACAACAGTCTTTATTAAGGATATTGGGTAGCAGAATTACCTTGGCGGGGGCGGGAGGCGTTGTAAAACATCCATTTGCAAAAGGCTCTCAGGCTGAAGCCCTTTCATCGGTGGCGAGGGGAGGGGGAGGCAGGGCGGGGGCTCGCAAACCCCCAGCTATCTCCATTTGTCAGCGCCACAGAGGAGGGGTCGCAAAGCCAGCGGTGCGGAGGGGTGGGCTGCCCGGTGGTCCGCCAGCCCTGCCGCTGCTGCCCCGAGCGGGACCGGCCGCGGGTGCGCTGAGCGCGGCGGGCTCAGCCCGGGGCGGCGCGGAGCGGAGCCGGGACCCCCGGCCTTTCACTTTCATGCCCACCGCATCAGCCTTGGGAAGGGGGAAGTGGGGGGAGGAGAGGAGGGAGGGAAGGCGAGCGCCCTGCTGTATTGTTCCCCTGCCGAATTGATATGCTAATTCCCCTTGTGAGGGCATCACAAAGAACACCTTGCACTTCTGAAAGACTTTTGTGTCCTGGACGGAGAAGTTTATTATCAACTAATTAGCAACAACTTCTAGCAATGAGTTGGGTTACATTTTCATAAGCTTTGAACAAACATCCTGAGCTGCGTTGTGTCAGGATGATGGGCTTGCTAAGGAAAATAGAGTCCTAAATAAGGGAACGAGTTTTAATAATTAGCGCCTGCTATACACGGAGCCTCTGTCGACGTAAGTCTTCTTCCGAGGCTTTTGATTCACGTTGCTTCCAGGATTGCAAAGGACCATGACAAGCACTCTACAAAACAAAATCTTACTCAGGGATGACTAGCCATTTTCCCCTTCATATTAAGGTTCTTTTCTTACAACCAAAGAGCATTTTAGACTACCTTGATAACGCACCGAGGATAATCAGTATATGAAGAAGCTCAGTACAATTAAGCATATTCATATCTAATGTTATTTTGAGAGGCTTGTTGTAGTCAGTCTAGCACTTTGAATATAAAAATCCTCTGGGAAAATGAAAGGGCATATTTGAAATTACAAAAAGAAAACTTCTATAAATTTCACAGGCTTTCTATTTGTTGTGGTGGAGTTTGTTGGGGGTTTTGATATTTCTTTTTTATTTGGTTTGGTTTTTAATTCTGTATTACTCTTCTAGTAGCTTTTAAACAGAAGGAGGACCGGGTCTCAGTACTAGGGTAGCTCAGTTCTCTCATTGCAGACTTCCTGTATGTTTGGAAACAGAAGTATAGGGTGTTTTTTTTGGCTGCAAGTGAAACTAGGAAAAACAAGAGGACTTTACTTTTGTCACTGTAGCAAGCGCTAGTTACTTTCTGCTTGGCTTTATGCAACCAAAATAGAGCAGAAACAATCCTCTGAAGATAGGCACGTTCTATGGTTTACTGATTGACTGGAATTCTTATTGACTGGAAACAACGTACTTACAGCTTCACATTATGCTGTCGGGTTTTGGCTTTTGAGGTGCGTGATGTGGTGGGGGAGTGTCATATTGCAGTTCGAGTCAGTACCTGGTTGATTTTGCAGTTTAGACATGGATTTCCAGTGTGGCTTCCTAAACCTGCCCTGGTCCTGAGGAGAGCACTAAGGAAGCTGCAAGCCTTGGGCCCATATTGGGATGCAGAAAAAAGCAGATCGGCCCTGGCTGCCTTTGCAATTCAACTTATCCTCTCCTATTCAGTTCATTTAATGGGCAAACACACTCTCCATCACTCGGTCTCTTTCTGTCCCCTTCTGCAAGCAAATTCATTTGTTTAAAATCCTAAAAGGTGGTATAAGGTCTTATTGAAACCCAGCAACGTAAGGGGTGGGAGTGGATTAGATTCCTTCATTTCCTTTTGGTAATCCTAAATGCAGCTATCTCTGGTTCCGTAATCTCCTCTAGAGTCGGATTACCGCCCATTTGAGCAAGTGCAGCTGGAATTAGGGGATGACAAGCATGCAAAGAAAGTGCCAAGAACTCCTGAGGTGACAGAGACGTCGGGGTGGCTCTGGCCACCCTGGTGTCCCCCAGGGCACCCCGGGCGGTGATGGGGGCGGCCCTGGGCAGGGCAGTGCCCCCCGGCCCCCGGCGCAGACCGGCCTTTCTTCTCGCTGCGGCTCCGCGGCGGCAAGGGCCACCGCTGGGTCCCTTTGGCGCTTCATTCGCCTGGTGACGGGCTCCTGCCAGCCCTGCGGCTCTCTGACGGCCCACACCGCCATACACAAATATGTAGTTATATATATTTATACATGTATATTTACATAGACACACATACACATGAATGGATGTTCCTGCATCCACTAGAATAAAGAATAAACATGAAATAGGCGATGAAATGTGGAGCCAGTACAGCCTTGTTTATGCTTATCTCTGTCCACCTGGAAAAAGTAACCCTGCATGAAAATACACGTTTGTATGTGCAGTCATTTTTTAAAACAATCCTTCATATTTGATTGAAATGGAATATGCCACCGTGCATATCTAAGATTAAAGCTTTATTTTTAGAGGCCTGTAATCCTTTCAAGGAGGTTTTGTTGATATAAAACTTCATTGGAAAGTAATTGTGGATTGTACAGCTCTGACCTTTACAGAAAGCAGGGTGTGGGTCTGGATAGCTGAGAAATACTGTGCATCAATTTCTTGTGAAGCCCCTGCAGACCAGCTAAGTATGCATACAAGTTCAAGAATTTATTTAAAAGGTTACAATTAGTGGTTCGGTCGTCAAAGTTGGGGACGTGGTATTTTTATACTAGGCGAAACACACTATTTAAATATATTTTAAAAATAAATAAATAAAAAAGAATAAGGCCAGGCCTTCTACACAAATTGGAGGCAGCTAAATGCTCTTTTGTGCCTGAAGCTCTAAGGAGGCTGTGATGCATGTGAAGGAAAGTGACTGACTTAACTCATTGGGATTCAGGGAACGGCCTGCCCTCTTTTGAAAAAAAAAAAAAAAAAGAAAAAAAAAAGCAAGAAGAAGAAGAAAAGTAAGTGTGTATGTGTGTGTGTGTGTGTGTGTGTGTGTGCGTATTCGTGTATGTGTGTGTGTGACAGAGAGAGAGAGGAAGAGAGAGAGAGGAGGGGGAGATTCACAGAGTCCTGCTTTCCTGAGCTGAGAGCTGCTGGTTCCCAAGCCGAAAGTATTAGGAGAAACACGGCTTCTTGTGTCTTTGCTGCATTTACACAATGAAATCACTTCTATTTCTATTCCTGCTAACCGGCCGCTTTTGCTTGAATCCACTCCGAGCCATGGACGACGGGAACAAAAAAAAAGTACTTAAAAACAACTAGACCAAAAAAAAAAAAAAAGGGAAAGAAAACCCTAACAAGCCCAACCACGCTGGGATGAGGATTATTCACTTTAGCGCTGCCTGTAAGTACAAAGTCTCTTGCTGCATTTCAGGGTGATAGTGACAGGCTGTTGTTTAGGTTGGGGTTGCTGGGGTTTGTTTTGATTCTTTGTTTTCTCCCTCTTTTTTTCTTTTTTCTTTTTGCCTTAAATATGTCATCCCCTCCTTTTCAGTCTTCTGCCGGTTTGCTAAAATAAGAAAATAAAAGCGGGAGAGGGAGAGGGGCGGGCGGCTGGGCAGAGCGCGGTGCGGAAGCAGGGCAGCAGCCGGGGGTGCGGGGCTCCGCGGGCACGGAGGAGCGCCCGGTGCCGGCAGTGAGAGGGACAGAGGGCTGTTCTCAGCACCGCTTTGTGGGCTTGGATGCATTGATTTTCTTTTTTCTTTTCTTTCTTTTTTTTTTTTTTTTTTTTTTTTTTTTTTTTTTTTTTTTTTTTTTTTTGGCCCGGGAATGTGCACGCCTGTGTGTGTGCATTCACATCCTCAGGAAGCGTGGTCTGCTTGGGTCTCTGTAATGCAACTTGAGTCCGCCCAGCTCGAAGGAATGCGGTGGTCAAAACAGCTTTCCAGCTGTTTGGTTTTTTGGGATTCCAACCCCCCTCCCCCCACAGAGACACACTCCTCAAGTGTACATGTGAAGGTGTTACTTTTTCATGGCAGGATTTGCTTAAAATAAACTAAGACCAAAACTGTCTCTCTCGCGCCTAGCGTAGTCGCTTTTCTCCCCCTCCCTTTCCTCCCTTCTTTCTTTATTTCTGTGAGAGCGCTCCTGGGAAAGCGGATCGGATAGAGGGCAAGGCTTTTGAAATCGTGGGGGAAAATGTAAGAGAATTCAGAGGGTCCGGGCTTTCTTTGTGTGGTGCTGAAGCCGCGGAGCTGCTTTGTGCTTTGGAAGGAGAAAATGGCGAGTCCTATTGTGTTTAGGCCATTTTCTTCCGGTACAAGGGTTTCCCCCCAAATCCTAAATACTTCAGGGCTCTTTTGAAAGAAATCTCCCAGCCTACGAAGTGTGAATGGCTTCAGCTCTGCCTTTTCCCCAGCCGGCAGCACATCACATTCTAGAGAGCCCACACATTTCTCTTTGCAGGGCTAGTGCACAATTTCTAAAGCTGCCGCATTCAGAGCCTCTTGCAGTGTAGGGGCTATTTCAGCTGCTCTTTGCCCCAGTTATTCAACTCGGGGGAGCAGGTTATGAGAGAAAGAGGGGGACTGAAGGCATAATATTTCGAGACCTGTCCTTGCTTTTAAATGCTAAGGAACAGCGTTAGCCAATTGTGTGTGCGTGTGTGTGCGCGCGTGTGTGTGTGTGTGTGTGTGATCTGAGAAAAGACTTGTCAACGGCGACGCCTGACTTTTCCACTAAATTATTTAAAATTTATGTATATATACATCTATTTGTACGTGAGAGAGAGACTGTATCTCTGCGCACGCATGTAGCTAGGTAGCAAGATCTTTCTTTTAGGACCAGAAAGAGGCCATATATATATGCAAAGTGATATCTTAGAGGGTATTTAACCATCGTGTGCAAGTTATTCCTGCTGCAACTTCTAATGAAAAAAAAAATAGTTTGCAATGTTGTCAGTTCTCGTCAGGTCATCCCATAGGTAGGTACCGGTTACTAAAAACCGCGTCTGAATTTGCAGGTTAATCCATTTAAGGAAACAAATGAGAATCCGAGGTTTAAAGACCACTTTACATTAGAATGTGGGTTTGCCCAGGCGCCAGTGATTAAAAGCTCTTAGAAAAAGGAGAGCTAACAAATAAAGCCCAAGAAAGGTAAACCCTCACTACCACCGCCACCTCCTTCCAAGGTGCTGAATTTGAAAAAAAAATGGTATTAATAATAATAGCAACATCAGTAAAGCAGAGGTGTTGATGGAGCTGCCGCGGAGGGTGGGAGGGTGGCAGGCTCTCCGGCCCCGCGGCGGTGGCGGGCCGAGCTGGCGCGGAGGGGCGCGCAGGGCCACGGGCACGGCCGCGGGAGCAGCGCCCGCTGCCGCCGGCGGGTCAGGACCATGGACAGGGACCGGGCGCGGATGGAGCCGGCTGGTGTCACCCCGGGAAAGGGCAGTGAGGGCCTGTCGGCCACCGCGGAACGCCGGGGCCCCGAGCTGCTCCGTCTTTCTTGTTATCCCTCTCGTGTGCCTGCTCAAGATTCTAGGCAAAAGACTTGAGAAATTGCATTTATAATTCTCTGCAGGAGAGCAAGCTCTGCTAAAATGCCATGCCAGTGATTTCTCTTCTTACTGCTCGCAAAAGAAGTAAAAGGATCTCTCCATTCTGCATACGATTGCTTTTTCCCTTCAACTCCGAGCCAAAAATAAATCTACTGCTCGGATCGACTGAATGACAGTGGTGTAAATTAAATTGATTTTATCAGTGACCAAGTTCCACAATTGGAAAAATTAAATGCCACTTTGACAGACAAGGATAATATGGAACAGATCTATAAAACAGCTCCTTTGAACAACAACAACATCAACCCAACAGGAGCCTAGATACTGGCGATCCCTTCTTCTTCAGCCTGCTCCGTTATGTCACATCGTCTAGTTTGCCTTTCTGCAGTACCGAAATGATTGAAACCATTGTTTGATGCAAAGGGAGTAGTGATGATGAGTCATGGACTTTATGCCACAGCAAAAGCAACAGACGTGGTTCTCAGGCAAATTTCTTTTTTTATTTTGATCGCGCTTCTAATTGGATTCCCCTTTCAGATGTACTTTGCGGCACTTCCAACCCACCCTACAGCTCCAGAAAACTCGGGGCTGAGCCATGGGAACGACGAGCCGCTCTGCCTCCACCTAAGAACTGCAGAAACGCAACCTCCAAGTCCTTTAGCCAGGAGAACCCTACTCCAGCGCCTGCCGCCGTCCCCGCAGGGCGAGAGGAGGCCTTGAGCCGCCTCAGCGCTCCCTGCGCGCCCGGCCCGGCTCGGCTCGGCCGGGCTCTGCTCGGCTCGCTGCCCGCCCGCCGGGGCCTGCCTGCCGCAGAGGCACCGCGCAGCTCCGGGACAGGGAGAGGGAGGGCTGTCCCCGCACGGCCGGCGAGCCGCTCCGGGACGGGCACGACGGGAACAAAGCCGCGGGGCACGGCGCGGCCCGGCCCGGGCTCCGGGCTCCGGGCAGCTGCGGGCGGGCGGGCGGGAGGCTGGGGCGGCGCGGGGCCGGGGGCGCGGCGGTGCCGCAGTGAGGGGGGGTCGGCGCTGCCGTGCGGGGAGGGTGGCCTCTGGGTGAGCCGGGGACCAGGCTCCTCTTCCTCGCTATGACTGTACAGATTCATGTGACATTGAGGTTGGGGAGGTGGGGGAGGGCGGGGGGTGGAGGGAGAGGACCCGGAGGGAAGGGGGAGGGTTGAACTTTCTGCCGGGCTCGGCTTTTCACACCTTTCTCTCCCGATGATGCGTGAGGACGTTTTGGGAGAGAGCGGCTCGGCGGGGTCCCCTCCGACCAGGTCCCCCTCGACCTTGCAGGGACCCGGCCGGGCGGCGCGGGTCTGGGATTGTGCCGGGTTTCAAGGACACGGGAGATGATCAGGACTTTGGGAGCCAACATCTGCCTGGCTGGTGACGTCAGCAACCCCGTGTAATCCTCTTGTACTGAAGGCAGATGCCTTATTTGTTTGGCTGGAGAGGCATTAATCCCTAATTCTGGAGCAGCAAGCGAGGGGGAGAGACCGGACCGCTTCCTATCCCCCGAAAGCAGCTAGAGGGGCTCTCCTCTCCTGAGCTCCCCGGCTCCGACTGGGTGGAGGAGCCGCCAGCCCTCGGCAGGTTTGACCATTTCCTTTTTGATTGTGATTCTCTTTTTTGGTATTTGGAGTGGGTTCCTATTTCTTATTTTTATTTGGATGCTTGGATTTCTCCCTATGATTCTTTGCTCTAGTACCGTCCTCAAGACCAAAAAGAAGGGGGGACTGCTGTTCCCCACCCCCTTCACAGTCCCTTAATTTTATTATTTTCTTTTCTTCTATTTTTTTGAAGCTTTCCCCTGAGCTTGCTCTCCGGGGATTTTTGCAGCGGTGGGCAGGGAGGTTGCTCTCTGCGGTTCCCCGCGGCTGGCCCGTTCCCACCGCGCTGCAGGGACCCAGATGCCCGCTCGCCCTAGCGCTGCGGTGATGGGCGTTCCGCCTTGTCCGTCCTCGGCCGCGGAGCAAGCAGCCCCACAGGCTCGGGTCTGGCCGACCCCAGCTTCGCGTCAGTCCGTGTGGCCCCCCTTCCCTTCTCTTCCTCCCCTTCCCCTTTCCCTCCCCGCCCTTCTCCTGCTCTGACTCCCCCCTCTCTCCCTTTTGTCATTGGCAACCGCGCGGCGTGCGGGCTCCCGGCGCCCTTCCCTCTCCGCCTGCCTTTCCTTTCCTCCCCGCCTGCATTTCTAACGCTCTCGCTTTGTCTGTTTTCCAGGCGGCCGCACGCAGGAGTTACGGTGCCGAGGGGGCCCGGAGCCGCCTTCCCAGTTTGCCCCCGGATGCCCCGGCAAGCTACGGGAAAAGTCTCTGGGAAGCCCAGCTAGCCGCAGGATCCCGCCCGCCGCCGCCTGCAGCCGCAGCACATCCCGCCTCGTCTCCTCTCTCTCTCGCGGGCCCTGGCGCCGAGGAAGCAGTCGAGGTCAGCTGCCCGGTTCCTGGGGTCCGGCCGTGCTGGAGCCCGCAGGGTGATGCAAGGTGCCCGGCCGCTCCGCTCCTCCCGGCGCGCCGTCGGCACCGGAAAGGAATGAATGGTCCCGATTCTGAGCCGTGAAAGATGGCAAAAAGCGTAATAATAATAATAAAAAAAGCTTAGGCTAATTTTTTTTTAATTATTGTAATGACTTCACCCCTCATTTCCTCACTCGCCAGTTCAGTGTAGGCAAGCCAGATGGGCTGCCCAGACCCTCCCGGGAAAGGGGCAGGTGCGAGTGAGTTAAATTTTTTTCTGCTTTACAAAGAAAGATGACACGTCCTGCCCTTTCATTTTTCATCGCCGAAAGATCCCCTCTTCCCCCCCCGCCCTCCCCCTGGCCGAGGGGAGCGGGGATGCTCTGGGGGTGAGGGCTCCCCCCGCCCGTGCTCCAGGGGAGCCGCAGGACCAGGCGGACAGAGACAGCCGGAAAGACATGGTCATTCCTCTCGGCCAGGGATGCCAAATGACAGACGTCGAGTCGGGGAGAGTCAACTGCTGTGTTTAAAATCCCGCGAAGACGCTGGTGAAATTAAAGCAGTCGTCTGGAATTGTGCGATAGGCACACGCTTATATTATTATATTTTTTTCTTTTTTTTTTTAATCGATTAAATGCATATTTAACAGCTTCCTGAGCATTGCAAACAACAGACTGGCTAGTAAGAAAACTCGAGCATGAGTTACATGCAGCCTGGGCCACAATGGGACTAGGGCGGAGGGAAATTACCGGGGTTTTTTTCGGGGATCAGTTGCTGTTCTGCTGAGAGAGAGAGAGAGAGAGCGAGAGAGAGCGCTCTAAGGCTCTGACTCTCCGTGTTCACAGCGGACCTTGATTTAATGTCATACAATTAAGGCACGCGGTGAATGCCAAGAGCGGATCCTCAAAGCAGCATGAAAGATCTCGCTAGAGCATACCATAACAATAATGTTAATAACAAAAATAATTGCAATGAGATTAAAAAAAAAAAAAAGAAAAGAAAAAAAGGAAAGAAAGAAAGAAAAGGAGAGACAAAGCAATAAAGACAACCTGTACTCACCTACGG